GAAATGGACAAAGCTTGAGCTCAAGAAGACTAGAACACTAGAATGACCAAGAATACAAGTTGTGATTTACATCCAAGTCAAAAATTCGACAAAACAAGAAGAAACATTGAGTGTGGTTCACTGCCAAGCATGCACACACAAGTGAGAAGTAGCGATTTACTATGGAGTGAAGAAATGGACAACGCATGAGCTCAAGTTCACGAGAACACTAGAACGAGCAAAACTACAAGTTGCAATTTATACCCAAGTGATTGGTTAAAACAAGGAAAACGAGTGAGTGTAATTTACTCCCAAGCATGCAAACACAAAGTGGGAAGTGACGATTTACTATCGAGTGAAAATATGGACAACGCATGAGTTGAAGATGACTAGAACACTAGAATGATCAAGAACACAAGTTGCGATTTACACCCAAATGAAGAATTGTAGAAAACAAGAAGAAATAGTGGGTGTAACTGACTCCCAAGCATGCACACGTAAAGTGGGAAGTGAAGATTTACTATGGAGTGAAGAAATAGGCAGTGCGTGAGCTCAAGATGACTAGAACATTAGAGTGAACAAGAATAAAAATTGCGATTTACACCCAGGTGAAAAATTGAACAAAACAAGAAGAAAGAGTGAGTGTAACTCGCTCCAAAGCATGCACACACAAAGTGGGAAGTGGCGATTTACTATGGACTGAAGAAATTGAGAATGGATGAGCTCAGGATGACTAGAACACTAGAATGAGTAAGAATACAAGTTGCGATATACACCCATGTGAAGAATTGAACAAAACAAGAGGAAATAATGAGTGTAACTCACTTCCACGCATGCACACATAAATTGGGAAGCGGGGATTTACTATGGAGTGAAGAAATGGACGATGCTTACGCTTAAGATGACTAGAACACTAGATTGAGCAAGAATAAGTGTTGCGATTTACACCCAAATGAAGAATCGGACAAAACAAGAAGAAAAAGGCAGTGTAACTCACTCCCTACCATGCACACACAAAGTGGGAAGCAACGATTTACCATGGACTGATGAAATGGAAAAAATATAACCTCAAGACGACTAAAGCACTAGAATGAACAAAGATACAAGTAACGATTTATACCCAAGTGAAAATTTGGACAAAATAAATAAAAAGAGTCAGTGAAACTCACTCCCAAACATGCACTTACAAATAGGGAAGTGACGAGTTGCTATAGAATGAAAAAAATCGATAATGCATGAACTCTAGATGACTAGAACAATAGAATGAGAAAATTTGAATGTTGTGATTTACACCCAAGTGAAGAATTAGACGAAAGAAGAAGAGAGAGCGAGTGTAACTCACTCCTAAGCATGTACACACAAAGTGAGAAATAGTGATCTAGTATGGAGTGAAGAAATGAACAAAGCATGAGCTTAAGATGACTAAAACACTAGAGTGACCAAGAATACAGGTTGTGATTTACTTCCAAGTGAAAAATTATACAAAACAAGAAGAAATAGTGAATGTAACTCACTCCCAAGCATGCACACATAAAGTGGGAAGTAGCGATTTACTATGAAGTGAATAAATGAATAATGCATGATCTCAAGATCACTAGAACACTAAAATGAGCAAGATTACAAGTTGCGATGTACACTGAAGTTAAAAATTGGACAAAACATGAAGAAAGAGTGAGTATGATTCACTTCGAAACATGCAAACAGTGAGAAGTAGCGATTTACTATGGAGTGAAAAAATGGACAATGCATGAGCTCAAGATGACTACAAGACTAGAACGAGCAAGATTACAAGTTGCGATTTACACCCATGTGAAGAATTGGACAAAACAAGAAGAAAAAGTGAGTGTAACTCACTCCCAAGTATGCACGATTTACACCCATGTGAAGAATTTGACAAAACAAGAACAAAGAGCGAGTGTAACTCACTCCCAAACATTCACACACAAAGTGAGAAGTGAAGATTTACTATGGAGTGAAGAAATGGACAGTGCATGAGCCCAAGATGACTAGAAGTGTAGAATGAGCAAGAATACAAGTTGCGATGTACACCCAAGTGAACAATTGGACAAAACAAGAAGAAAGAGTGAGTGTAATTCACTCCCAAGCATGCACACACAACAACATGGGAAGTGGCGATTGACTATGGAGTGAAGAAATGAGCAATAGATAACTCAAGATGACTAGAAAACTACAATGAGGAAGAATACAAGTTGTGACTTACACCTAGTGAAGAATTGAACAAAACAAGAGGAAAAAGTGAGTGTAGCTTACTCCCAAGCTTGCACACACAAAGTGGAAAGTGACGATTTAACATGGAGTGATAAAATTGACAATGTGTGAGCTCAAGATGACTAGAACATGAAATTGAGCAAGAATACAAGTTGCGATTTACACCCAAGTGAAGAATTGCACAAAACAAAGAGAAAAAGTTAGTGTAACTTACTCCCAAACATGCACACACAAAGTGGGAAGTTGCTATTCACTATGGACTGAAGAAATGAACAAAGCATGAGCTCAAGATGACTAAAACACTAGAATGAGCAAGGATACAACTAACGATTTGTACCGAAGTGAAAATTTGGACAAAACAAAGAAAAAGAGTGAGTGAAACTCACTTCCAGACATGCACTTACAAAGTGGGAAATGGCGATTTACTATGGAGTGAAAAAAAATGGACAATGCATGAGCTACAAATGACTAGAACACTAGAAGGATCAAGAATACATGTTGCGATTTACACTCGGAGTGAAAAATTTGATGAAACAAGAAGAGAGAGTGAGCGTAACTCACTCCGAAGCATGCACACACAAAGTGGGAAATAGCGATTCACTATGAAGTGAAGAAATGAACAAATCATGAGCTCAAGATGGCGAAAACACTAGTATAAGCAAAAATACAAGTTGCGATTTACATCCAAGTGAAAAATTCGACAAAACAAAAAGAAAGACTTAGTGTAACTCACTCCCAAACATCCACTCATAAAGTGGAAAGTGGCGATTTACCATGGAGTGAAGAAAATAGACAATGTATGAGATCAAGATAACTAGAACACTAGAATGAGCAAGAATAAGAGTTGTGATTTACACCCGAGTGAAGAAATGGTTAAAACAAGAAGAAAGTGTGAGTGTAACTCACTCCCACGCACGCACACACAAAGTGGGAACTGACGATTTGCTATGGAGTGAAGAAATGGACAACTTATGAGTTCAAGATGACTAGAACACTAGAATAAGCAAGAATACAAGATGAAATTTACACCCAAGTGAAGAATTGAACAAAACAACAAAAAAGAGTGAATGTAACTCAATTCCATGCATGCACAAACAAAGTAGGAAGTGAAGATTTACTATGGAGTGAAGACATGGACAGTGCATGAGCTCAAGATGACTTGAACACCAGAATGAGCAATAATACAAGTTGCGATTTACACCCAAGTGAAGAATTTGACAAAACAAGAAGAAAGAGTGGGTGTAACTCACTCTCAAGCATGCACACATAAAGTGGGACGTGACGATTTACTATGGAGTGGAGAAATAGACAATGCATGAGCTCAAGATGACTAGAACACTAGAATGAGCAAAAATAAACGTTGCGATTTACATCAGGTGAAGAATTGGACAAAAGAATAGGAAAGAGTGATTGTAACTCACTTATAAGCATGCACAAAGTGGGAAGTGACGATTTACTATTGAGTGAGGAAATGGACAATGAATGAGCTCAAGATGACTAGAATACTAGAATGAGCAAAAATAAAAGTTGCGATTTGCACGCAAGTGAAGAATTTAACAAAACAAAAAGAAAAAGTGAGTGTGACTCACTCCCAAGCATGCACACATAAAGTGGGAACTGACGATTTACTATGGAGTGAAGAAATGGCCCATGGGAAGACCATCACTAGTGGAAAAGCCTCCTACTACCTATACTAAGCTTTGGAAAGTAAGTATGGAGAGAGAAGATGAGGAGGAAAGAATAAAGAGAATGTAAATGAAGCAGCATGGAGTAGTAGGAGAAGAAGAGGGAAAAAAAAAAAAAACAAGGAAGAAGAAGAAGATGGAGAAGAAGAAGATGGAGAAGAAGAAGGAGGAGGAGAAGAGAAGAATTGAATTGAAACAGCGAGGCCAATCGCTATGTGTCCATGTCTCAACAATGAGCAATAAAGCACCTGCACAGACAATCAGCTCAACGCGCACATTCCCCGACGCGTTTCGTCTGGCTGCGCACCAGGACTTATCAAGGGGCCACCACACTCCCGCATCCACCGTAGCAATCCACCCAGAGCAAAGAGGGTCGTTCTGGCCTTGCCCTCTGAACAAATAGTTGTCTCCACGTCCGCACTCTGACGGCACGAGTATAACAACTGGCTAGGCGGGCGTCGGCTGTGCTTGCTCGTAACAAATCTGGCGTGCTCGTACACATGTTCCTCATTCCCAACAACCTCACGTGTGCGCTTTTCCCGCCAGGAATACAAATTCGCACGTGTACTGGCCGGTGGTAGAAGCCTGCGCTGCGAAGTAGGCCATCTGGGGCCATAAATTTCCGTCGTACCAGGCCTAACTTATACGTTAGGTACATTACAGTCTGAAACGACCCACCCACCACTGTCCCGGTTCCGGCCCTACTGGCCCCAATGACGTTGGACTAGTCCCCACTGCCTACCCACCTGCCAATATACACCTGGTACCCGTTCCTACTCCGACACCTACCTCGTCCTCCTATTTTCCCGTATTCCCTACTTCGTGGCTGGGCTACAGCCTCTCCTTTTATTCGGGTATCCATCACACACGTGTCTAGTGTACACCCCAGTGTCCTGTTCTGGGCAGGGTCTGTTTTCTAATTCCTAACCTGTTTTCTAATTCCTAATGTACAACCCGGCTCTTACCGGGGCCTACCACTAGGGGGTCTGCGCCTCTCGTTCTCAGGTTAACTCTGTCTGTCTATGTTACTATACACGGCTGCTTGCAATCTGCCTCTCACAGCCTCCCCTCTTCCTTCCACTTGCTCAGTTACCGCGAGGGGTTTACCATTTACTGAGTTAACCAGTTGTTCGGTCAGCGTCTTCAACGCTGATCTGAACGAACCGGTGGCGCTGGCAGTATGCCTCAGCTCAATGCTGATTGAAAGCGTCGCTGGGACACCTGTTGCTGGGTCACTCGCATGTTGCTTGATCCTGTGAAGTGCAACAATCACCGTGCCAGCTTTTGCTCGTTTATCTGAGTACGACGTGAAGTCTTTGAAACACCTGAAGGTGAGTGGTTCCTCCAACGTTACTTCTTCATTCTTATGCCTGGGACGGATGACGAACTTGATCGGGCCTGGTAGTGCTGCAGCCCTGGTCCCTAGGAAATTCCAGGAATTAGAGCCGTCGCCAGTCCTTACTAGAACAAGCTGCTCCCCGTACGTCTTCTCAAAGCTCTGGCGTATACACTTCGCTATTGTTACACTCCGATGATCATACATGTCACATGCCACTGCTATCGTGACATCATCCACCAATCTGACTCCATGCACCAGCCTCTGATCGGCGCCCAGCGAGTTCAAAAAGTCCACCTCATGCTTCGCACACAGTAGACAGGCTAGTGAGGGGCTGGAATGCTTCCCCATTGGTATGCCCACAATCTGCTTGAGAATCATTGTTTTACACATGATATACGCGTTATCCAGTTCGAAGCTGACCATCTGTCGGATTTGGGAAAACTTGACTGTAACATAACCTTGACGAAGGCTCTTCTGGTTGAGGATCACAACTCGGCCTCTTCTACTCAGGCTCAGATTGAAAACACTCTTCATCTCCCACTGCTGCAGCAGCCAATCAATTACATGGGCTATCGCTCTGTGTTGCAAGGACGTGAACATCTCCTTGATGTCCAAGCTGGCCATCAGGGCCATCGACTTCTCCCCAAACATACTCAGCTTTCGTACTGCCGTCTCCAAATTTTGCTTCAGCAATGTCGTAGCCTTAAGGTTAAAGTGCCTGGCTTCGGGGGCTCTCTCCAGCAGAAAGTTGAGAGCTCGTGCAAGTCTCCTCCCTGTGGTCTTTGATCCTTCTGTGAACGTCGGCGCAATGGGCCTCCACCTCGTTAGATCTTTATGTTTCGGCAGCACATATGCTTGCCCGAGCTTGGCCGACGGATTCCAGGCACCGATCTTGTCAAGTTCCAATTTTTTGAACATCGTCTTCACCAGAGTTAGCACCTCACTCTCGGATTTTTCTGTGACCTGCTGGTAGGCGATATTGAGATTGAACATCATCTGAAGCCCATAGTGGTACGTCGTCGGGCACATGACTACAAGGTCGCCCGGGTTCCTGTCCACTGGAACCACTACGAGGTGGCTTAACATCGCTGCCAGCTTACACGCTTGCTCTTCTGAGCCCGCCAGCCTGGTCTCTGCGCTGTCGGAGATGCTGTCCTGAAAATAACCTCGGTCTAACTGGATGAGGTCTCTCTTCATGACAGCCTCTAAGGATCGTCCAACAGCTTGCTGCAGCTCTACTTGCTTTGCATCAACGTCACATTGCAGGATATTTTTTCCGTTATGCATGAACGGGGGAGCAGCGGAGCACTGCGCAATGCGTGCTAACACATAACCTTCTATTCCCGGCAACTAATCATGGCCACAAGTACACTGTGCACTAGCCAGCCTTGCTGCCTTACGATGGTTGGTCAGGACTTGTTCGACAGTCCTATTTTTCTTCCACACCACTCTCACCCAGCGTCGTAATACTGTCTTCAACACCGGGTGTATTCTACTCTTGTCTACACACAACACTACAGTGTTGTGAATCTTCCTCTTCCTCAGCTTGTGGCTGTACTTCACTCCCACATTTACTTTCATTCTGATATTCACTCCAGTCTTCTTCCTGATTACTGCAGCAATCTTCTCTTTCAGGGTCCTTCTCGTAGCCTTCGTTTTGAACTCCCTAGCACATCTGTATAGGAAGACTAGCTTGGCCACATCAAAGTACTTCAGCTCTACTTGCTTCCTCGGCATTTCAAGTAGCAATCGAAGGTAACCCTTCCCTCTACACCTTGCGCTCACGGTCTTCACAATGGGCGATAATCTAAATCTGCCTCCTCTCTCTAGGAGCTGCTTGGATCTACTTAGAGGGAGTTTCACCTCTTTGCCCGTAACAGTTGACGTACCGAACTTCCTTCGTATAATAGACCACTTCTCACCCCACACCTCACCCCACACCTCACCGCCGGAAGACGCAAATTCTACCGCCTTCGTCCCTGCTGCAACCGTCTCCTCCAAGAGCTCTGCTAGACTAAAGTATCGCCTCTCGCTATTCACAAGGACTAAGGACACAAGTCCTCTCCTGTACGTTGGTGCAGATGTTTCTCTTTTCTTCCTCTCTTTCTTATCGAGTCTCGTCCTACGTTTCGTCCCTGCTGCTCGGCCAACCACATTAAGTGCTGGTGAGAACCTGTATATGAGAGTCTTCTCTAGCACTTGCAGTCCATCCCTAGCTCCCCCTGCTATAGGGAGGACCAGGTACTTCTGCCACCCAAAAACTCGCAAAAAGGAGTAAAGCTTGGGGGCATGTCCGTTGTTACCAGTCTCGGTGCATCGGATATGTTCCCACCATCTCTCTCCTGCACCTCGACATGTCTGCCCGATGTACATTTTCTTGCACCAGGGTGATATCAGGCAATATACCGCCGGTCCCCTAAGATCGAAAAAGTCGTGATCTGCAGGGGTAGCCGTGAGTATCTTCCTGGCCCACGGGACCAGGCCACTCATCACCAGCAGGAGGAAGCCTACAATTAGCAATTGCTCAATGGTAATCCTAAAATTCGTTAGGCCATATGTCCCCCAAACGCTATCCCGAAGCCCCATATATAGCTCGAGCTTGTCCCAGAGATACCGTGCTGGGGGAGTACACCGTCAGATATCATTAGGTGCAGTATCGACTCCCGACAATCTGTCTTCTTTCTTGCTCCTATCATTATCAGCTCCAGTGAGCCACCCATCATAAGCCACTCTTGCTTCCGCCGCCGCCAAGTCCTTGACTGCTTGAGCCTTCGAAATCCACTTGATGTTCTTCGTTTTACACATCCGCTTGAGTTCTGGGGCTTGTTTTGTTTGCAAACTCTCTCGTAGTTCGAGGACGAAATTAATCACACCCTGCTTGGAGCAAGAGGCAGCAGCTCCTTTCTTCGTCGTAGCTGCAGTCACTGGTTCCTTCCCTTTCCTCGACATTACGGTCCTTCTCTTGGTAACAGGTGTGGCATCACTCCTCTCCGCGTCATCCGCTTCTCGCTCGTAATCGTCCAGATTGAGCCTCCTTTTTGGGTCTGGATATGGTCCACCTCTGGGTCTTCTCGGTAAGTCCACTTTAGTGCGTTCCAAGAACCTCATTAAGTTCGCATGCAACCTTGCGTTCTTTTCTTCTGATGCGGTGAGTGTTGAATGGACATGACCTTTGATCTTCTCCTCTAGCGTTGTCATCTGTTTGGAGAATGCTTGCGCTGCTGTTGTCTCCATAATTGCTTGTGCTCTCCGTTTCTCCGCTTCTTCCCTCTGCTTCACTTCTTCAAGCCTCTGTCTTTCTTCTTCTTGCCGCTTCTTCTCTTGTTCTGCTCTCTTCTTCTCCGCTGCCTCCTGTTATTGGTTCTCGACAAACGCTAGCAGTCTGCTCATCCGATCATCGTTTTCAGCCCTCGGCTGATTGTAGGTACCTTGTCCGTAGTTCCCTGATTCATAGCCTCCGCGAGCTTGGCTTTGCCAATTCCTACCGTTCTGTTTATGCGGGCAGTCGCGTGCGAAATGCCCGTGCTCCCCACAGTTATAGCACGCCCCACCAGATGGCGCTGTTGGGGGAGGAGGAGGAAGGGGAGCAAGAGTGGGAGGAGGGGGAGGGGGAGTAGGACAAGGGGTAGGACCAGGGATGTGGACATGCCCGACGTAGTTAGTCGGATAAGGGCTCGGTACAGACTGCGGGGGATACATTGAAGCCGGACTCTCCACAGTATCACACTCCGTCTATCAGTCAATCTTAACAGGGTACTGGTAGCTGTCTGCCCTGTTGTACGGCCACTTGTTACCTGAGAGCTTTGGTTTAGATGGAAGGTCGCCCATAGTCCGGTATTCAACCGTAGGAATCAACCACTAGAAGCTCCACCGTGACGAACCCGTTTGCGTTCGATTAGCTACTCCACGCATGACATACGTCACTCAAAACCTGTCTGGACATACCTGAACTCTATGCTCACTCACTCACCACTTCTTTCCTTGCAATCACTCACGCGCATTGGGTCGCTGTCTCACCAACCGTTCAACCAGCTTAAGAACCTCTGACTGCGGGTACGGCTACTCACCTTATCTCACCTACTTCTTCACCCGTAACTTTGTCACCGTCCCGCTACACTCTTGGGCGACATAGTTAGCTTAAATAACTGACTGCACGAATCCAACTGCTCAAAAACATGCCTATACTACTAAATCGGTGTTGGGGCTCTTCTCAATCGGCGACGAAAACAGTGCGTTGCTGTAATAATCGCCTCACGGTTGGCATATCGATCTCCACACTCAGGGTCGGCTACTTACCTTCGCTCGCAAGCTCTGTCCTATGCAGCATAGCCAGAGCCACGTCACCTGGAGAAACGACCTGGTACATCAACGTGGCACTCATACGTTCAGTATCGTGTCGTTGGTAGTGGCTTGACGACGTTATGATAGTGTTGCTCGCAGCTGGTTCGGCTCATCCGAACTTCCTCCTGCTGCTCATAGCTCAACGGCTCGTACTGCCGACAGGTGTCAGCGTTACCAGCTGCTTTGCAGTGAAGTGCTGCTCGCCGTTCGCAGCTGCTGCCATCCTGACAATGGCTTATCGACGGCGTGATGACTGCACGTCAGATAAGGTCGCCTACCAGACATCAGCTCATCAGCAGTCGGGTGATTGACACGTAACCAGCTGTTTTGCAGCGAAGTGCTGCTCGGCGTCCGTAGCTGCTGCCAGCCTGGCAACGGGCTGAACGTCGGCGTGATGGCACGTGTTCGGCAGATTGCGCGGTAGATAAGGTCACCGACCAGACAACAGCTCATCGGCAGTCGGGATGATTGACATGTGGCAGATATCCTCGAAACCTTTGTCGTGTCAAGGATCGCCGCTAAACGACAGACTTCCAGGATCGAAGATCCGTACTACCGACAGGTGTCGATGCTCGCTGACTCATCGGCTATCGACCACTTCCGCGAAGTGCTGCTCGACGCTAATCAGTTCTCGAATCACCTCCGACCGCGTTCAGACTACTGCTGCTCGAAGGGCAGTATCTCTGCTAGCTTCCTTCCCGTCACGCTGGGATCAGCTCTTCTTACTGAAACTGTAGTCACCGGCTATCGACCACTTCAACGATGTGCTGCTCGACAAAAATTTTCTGGCAGGTCACCTCCGACCGCGTTCAGTTCCACTCTTCTTCCGGACGCGACTAACGGAAATCTTCCCACTTACTCACTTACACGCGAGTCACAAAAGACCATACCAGGTCTCTTCCGAATGCGCTCAAAGCTGCTCTTCGTCTTAGGCGTGATACTTCTCTCCCTTTCTCTATTACTCTCTCTCTCTTTCTCTCTCTCTCTCTCTCTCTCTCTCTCTCTCTCTCTCTCTCTCTCTCTCTCTCTCTCTCTCTCCCTCTTCGCTCGTAGCTCCCACCCTTCTTTCCCACTCACAAGTCTAAAGTAGGCGCAACCACCAAGACGAGTACGACCGCTCATATGGTTGTTACGGATTCAATAATTGAAATAGTGAGGCCAATCGCTATGTGTCCATGTCTCAGCAATGAGCAATAAAGCACCTGCACGGACAATCAGCTCAACGTGCACATTCCCCGACGCGTTTCGCCTGGCGGCACACCAGGACTTATCAAGGGGCCACCACACTCCCGCATCCACCGCAGCAATCCACCCAGAGCAAAGAGGGTCGTTCTGGCCTTGCCCTCTGAATAAATAGTTGTCGCCACGTCCGCACTCTGACGGCACGAGTACAGCAACTAGCTAGGCGGGCGTCGACTGTGCTTGCTCGTAACAGACCTGGCGTGCACGTACACATGTTCCTCAAGCAAATGTGAGTATGGCGGACTTCTCCCCCTACTTAAATAGGTTGGGCACAATGTTTTGGCCAGCCCATGGGCCTCCCCATGTACCCCATTGTGAACCGAGGTACCCCCATGACCATTTTCCACTTGTAGGCCTCTCCGGGAGTACCTGGGCCATAATTTGGCCAAGTACATGCAGTCCGAGTCGTTGGTACCAACTCAGACTGCCTCTTGGGCCTCCTCATGCCTCACCCCCTTCTTCAGAAGCTAGCCCCTTGAGCCTAAATGCCCAAGGACACCAAGGGCAGCCTTAGTTGGTAAAAAAATGCCTAGTGGGCCGTCTTCTCGACTTTTTAAGATTCTACCTCATTTTTAGCAGGCCGAGGTATTTTCCTTAGGTGATCCTTGCTTCAGTTTTGGGCCTCAAAGCCCACTTTTTCAACTTTTGGTGCATCTGACCCTCTTTTTTGACCAAATACACAATTTTGTTTTTTTCTTTGTTTCGTTTCTTTCCATTTTGGGTTGCCAACTCATTCCGAAGTTGGGCCGTTTGAGTTGACCTCATGAAAAACGGCCATATTACCTCCTCCATCGATCTGAATCTCAGATCCATGTTCCAAAAAAAAAATAGTCATTTTCCTTTTGCCTTTTTTCTTAATTTTGCCTTTTTAATTTAGATATTGCAGAGAAAATGCCCCAAGGACCATATCTCAGCAATCCGGATTGCCCTCCACAAAATCTGGAGGGATAAGATCACAGTAAGGGACGTTAATCCCTACTGTGTCAGTCCCAACTGACCGACACATTCTCCTTCGCTCTTTTTCCCCCCTTTGTCTTATCCTCTCTCAATTTTCTCTCATTTTTCTTTTCTTTTCTTTTATTTCTGATGTGACAAGTGTCAAGTGGTTGTTGAGTCTTTTTCTAGGCCATGGATCTCCCTCCATCTGTGGCCACATTCAGACCCAGCAGTTGGTCGTTATATTTCGGATTACAATGATGAAGCCCCCATGCATAAGGGGGGCTCCATTTTGCCTCCGCTAGTCTCAATTTTTAACCCTCTTTGCTCCGATTTTCTTTTGACAACCTTTTTTCTCTGTTGAGCCCCTTGGGGTTCTATTTAATCTGAGATATCACGGACCGCTAGTAGGCAACCCTTCCATTACCGTTAGTTTTTTTTTTTTTCTCTCACGATTTGGGCATAGAAAGGGCCAAACTAAGAGGAAGGACCTAGAAAAGACCTTAACGGCTACTTGACACTTGACATGCTAGAAAAAGAAAGAAAGAAAAAAAAAAAAGGTAGGAAATTGAGACAAAAGGAGTGAGAGGGAGTGAGTGAGTTGGCCGTCAGTACGGACTGCCATAAGCAGGGACTGGCAGGTCCCTACTCTCTGAAAATGGAGGGGGAAAAAAAAAAAAAAAAAAAAAAAAAAGACAAAAGAAACGAAAAGAGAAAAAATGTGTCAACGATAAAAAACGGTCAATTGGAGAGATACATTCATGACTAGATACATTATGGGATATGGCGGTTGGAAAATACCTTAATTTTGTCTTAATTTTGCAGAAAAAATCAAAAGAAATTAAAGCCCCATGCAACCGAAATACAACGGATTGCATATGGGACAGAAAACACATGTTTTAGATGCATTTAGAGCCAATATTGAGTCTGGATGCACTTGAAAGTTAGCCACTTCTTTTTCTTTCAGTTTGTGGCAAGTTGTGGGGCAATTGGACTAGGAAATTGACCCCTACTGCAGTCTGGGTTACAATGGACTGCATGGGGAAGGAAAAACACATGTTTTTTATGCATCTGGAGTCAATATTGAACGCTTCATTTTCTTTCAATTTGGGGCAAGTTGTGGGGCTGTGGGATTAGGAAAATGGTTACAGTTGTGGTCCGAGAAATAACGGACCGCATAGGGGTGCCTAGGCGAAAGAAAAATGACCCTTGGCACACCCAAGACACTCGAAAAGAGTGTCTTGGGCATGGGGTAAATTGCGACGGTAACTGGCAACCGCGAGATGAGAATCTCGCGGCCGGGAATAATCGGCGCACACGAAGCACGTGGGAGGAGGGTATCGGAACTGACGGGACAAGGAAGTCACCCCCCCAAAAAATTAGATGCCATCCGGGACGATGCCGGGGACTCAATGAGCCCAAATAAAAATAGTCGAAAATTGGGACATGCGCTGGCGGGACTACCGGCGGGACAAAAAAATGGAACTAGTACGAAGACAGTGGCAGGGAATTAACATATCCCAAGGGGACCATGAGCTAATATGAGGAATGATCACGTAAAGCAAACGACACCATCAAGATCAAGATCTAGACGGTGTAAATATTAGCACCGCTAGTGAGATCAAACGGCCCGCTAGTCTTTTCGACCTCAACTCTTTACTTGGCTTGTGGTCCTTCGGTTCTTCGTATGCCGCATCCCGGTGGCCCCCTTGACCCGGGCTACGCTCTCGCGTGTCAGTGCCTCACTTATTATTTTTTCGGCCTCCTCGATTCTTTTCTTTCTGCGGCACATAGGCTAAGGCATTACTTTTCCCGACAGTCTTTCTCCGTTCAGGAAGAAGGGCCGCCTTTACTATTTTCCTGTGGCTCTTCGCCGCTTGCTATTCTGCTAGTCTCTTCTTGGTTCAGTGGTTCCGGCGGCCCAGGACATTCTCTAGGTCCCCAGGCGCCGACACTTGTACCTTTGGCCTTCCATCCCTTCTGTCTCTCTTGCCTCTGGTTTTCTCTGTTGTGCACAATTCTGCCATATACCATCTCTTAGGGGTCGGGACTTATCTCGGGACTCACCGGCCCCGACACCGATACCACACAAAGTACGGATAGATGTGCCGGGTACCTAAGGCTGAGCAAAATAAGACAAAAGTTGACACTTTTAGAGGCCCAGTACCGGTGGGTAGGTGGGTACCAGTTCAAGTAGCTTGAGTCTAAGGTCTGTGCGAGTGATATCAGAGTCCGCAATGATGTTTCCCTCCGAAAGGGATGGGGTACCGGTTGCTCAGACCGGTCAAGCGATTAGGATGTCACCGCCCAAGAGGCAAATGCCTCTCTACATGTGGGAGGCCAAGCGAGAGCCTCAACTTCACCTACGGTATACGAGTAAGGACAAAGGTACTTGCTCAAGCACGTGCTAGGAATCCGTACGCTACTGCAAACCCGATGATCACACACTAATAATTGCTCTGGCTGAATGACCTCGGCGTTTATTAATTTATTCTGACTAATGTTCTGACGATCAAGTCTCAGTGTGTGTCGTAGATCTTTCTTGACATAACCCTGACCCAATCAACCCCTCGAAGTCTTCGGTTGGAGGGTATTACTTTCAATCCTAACCATCAGATTGCGCTTCTCAGTAACGCGTGTGCATACGTAACGAGATTTTCTCACCGGTTTTCCCCGGCCTCAATGGTCGAGGAATAGTTTCAAAGTATCGCGCTAAAACGTGCGCACATTTTTATTTTTGACTGCCCCTGCCAGGGTAGCCGATATCGTTGCTATGTTGACTGCAAAAGCATGGCCAATACCCTTGTAAGGGTATTTGGTCAGACAACGCTACTGACCCTCTGCTCAATGCTTCTTAGTGTTCGTTATCACAACCCAACTTGCCGGAGAGGAGATGAACAAAGTCAAGAGTTGCTAGCCGAGTGGCGTCGAACACAACTGTTTAGTAGCAGTAACAATTAGACTTCATGGTTTCTGGCGGGCAGTAGGTCTTATTAATTCGCTGGCTCGCCTTTACGCTGTCTCGACAGGAACAGAGCTAGGGACAATGGGCAATGTTGGTTTAGACCTACGTTGCGACTCGTACTCACCCCCATACGAGTACAAAGTGTACTGATTTCTTGTACGCTACTCGTACTCAAGGCCCGTACGATTTTTTTTAATTTGTTTTTACTGTTTTTATTTTGTTTCTCCAATTCTAATAAGAATCTGCAGATGGTGCTCAGACAAATGTTGCTTGTTTTGGGATGTTACATCACATATATTTGTTTAGGATTTTTTGGATGACTCTGATTTTTTTTTGTTTTTTGTTTTTTCCGTACGGGTCGTACGGGGGCGTACAAGTTCCCGTACATATATTATCTGTACGTTTCGTACGGAAAGGCCCCGTACATGTACGTTCGATAA